ATTATTGAAATCCAACCCACAAGGTTATCATACGTTTATATAACAGTCTAGACCAAATTGTCAGGAAAGCGTTCAGACAAAAGGGTAGACAACCTTTTACAGGCACCAGAAGAGGATGACACCATGCTATCTGTTTTCTTCATTGATTTTAACACTTAATCCCCCTACTATTACCATTCATTCAATTACAAACGTGCTTTGTTGGTCAACGAAGAGTAAAATTCGTTAATTATAGTAATACCTACATCATCGATGGGAAAGGGCATACGGTAGAGTAATTTGGTCACGGCTGCTATTTTGGGAGATCTGAGCCAATCAACAACAATGCGTATTCATGTTATAATGAGCGAGGTGCTTTTAGACATGGATGCAATTAAGAGTTGATGAATGACGGTTTAGAAGTTGTAAATAAACTGATCAAAATCGGGGTACTTACTGATGTACTTAGTGTTAATTCAAAACGGATGGAAATATATTAATTTTGTCGACTATATTAGGTAATAAGACAAACACACACGGACTGATATTCATTCCTCGCCATTTAACGCTGGTTTTGCATAAGCAATAGACAACGCTTCTTTATCATTATGAACAATCAATGTCATGACCTTTCACAAAAAAGAACACGACTTACGCGTGATATCCTCTCATTAAAAGAGAATGTGAGTTCCAATTCTATGTAAGATGTTTGAAATTCACTCAGTTGTTATCATCAAACTTCTCTTTCCATTTTGGGCAGTTGCTTGTTTATAGGATATAAGTATTCCTAATATGGAATGACTATTTCCTTTTGTATTAACTGATCATTTTCTTTAAAAAGGATTGCAAATTATATGTTTTTCTATATTATGTTATTGTAATCAAAGGTAACAATAAACTGTCTTTCGTATCATTTTATCAGACAGGCGTGACGTCATTGAAATAAATTCTTATCATTCAATGAATATCACGACAATTATTGATAAATACATACATTATCATTGAAATTAAAAGGTAATTATTGTTATTGTAGTGCTGAATATTGTTTAGCTGTTTTATATCACACTAAAATTCAATTTCAGATTTTATTGACGTGATCAACAAACTCGCCAATTAAGAAGTCAATCAACAAAATAAGGAGGAAAAGCCAAATTTCATTAATCACTTATGAAACGGATAAGACATGCTGGATATTTTATCACATGGATATAATTACCTAAAAATGTTCCATTCAATGTCAAAATCGAAGTCAGCATATCTCTGTACCAATGATCTGAATTATGACGTCATTATTTAAGTCATGATGAAGTTATATATATGATGTTATTTAAATACCTAAACATCACACGTCATATCATTTTATGATAATATGACCAGTCAGAACCAAATTACACACCTAGCCTAAATTACTTTCCTTTAATCAATTTTTTGCTAATCAATGGTTCATTCGATATGTTCTCAGTCTTTCTAAGGAAGGGTGGGGACGGTGAGGGGTGGGGTTAAACAAATTTTGATGCACACTCGTTCAATTCAATTACTGGAACTAACTGTGCGGCTGTCAAAATTACTACATTGTTTCAGAATCACGTGCATTTTAATAAAAGTTTAATCTTATCACAATAACAGTAAAATTGAACAATTTAATTTTAGTATTCTTTGACTAGGATTCCATTCTCCTGTGCAAATCATTAACCACAACAGTGTCCTTTGATGCATTTTTATTCAATCTATTAAAATTTTCAAATGATCAAAATGCAACATGATTTTATACGGCAATTTGATGACGAGAATTTCATTTCAGATATTAATTCAAATGAATATTTGATAAAGTTTAACGCTTTATCGAACATACCATACACGGTAATTGGTTAGAGCCCCATAAGCAAAAATAAAGATATTGACGAAATTTATTCGTTGTAATCGTAATGTGTTTCAAATCTTGTTAAAAAGATATTGTGCTCTTATCGCACATTCGTATGTATGTGGCAAGGGCACTTTTGTGCGGCGATCAGCTATAACGCGGAGGGTGGTAGGATACTAGTGATGAAAAATCAATAGATTTTAACTATAAATAGATCTGATATGAAGAAATCTCACGATTGAAATATAAAATACACACTTTAGTATAATCAAATTGACCAGATACGATGAAATAATGCCCCTTGAGAACAAACAATGATAAGCTTGTAATAACTCAACAATATTTGAATTTATTGCAATTTTTCTCGTTTTCAGTTTTATGCTTGTAAAGAATGATCGACATACATACACACATCAAATATGACAAATATAAAAAAAGAAATATATTTACCCCTTACAGGACTACAATAAAGAACTGGTAGCGCCCAGCTGAACTCAAGCTACGTAGATAACACCCAGAGAGATCATTATTAAATCTAGACTACCTTATACTTTCTATGAAAATATATCTTTTTAATTGTCTCTCGTATGCTGATTTTGAAACCAAATGCAACATTCGCATTTAAATATTTGGCATACATATGCAAAACAAGGAGTAGATAGAAAATAATACAAAAAAGGTGTTATTTGGTTTGTCCAACCGGGCGCTATATGTTTGTTTACCCATTAAATCGTAGTATAAATATTTAACAAATAATATTCCAATGAAAATTCAAATAGAAGATTTCTCGTTTAAACATGGACTTACATGCATAATACGTTTATACATGTATAGTTTCATAAACACGGCGACATTTAACAAACATAGACAATGGCACAATAATCCCACAATTTTGTCACATGCGACTTTCATTCAAAAGATAAATTGTGTAAATGCTGATTAGTCGGCAGATTATAGGTAAGAATAAATTATCATTGCATTTTGAAAAGTTATGAATCATGATTTTTTCCTTCACTTGATATGTAAAATCTCCACCAAAAGCATATTCATACCTTATAACTTTTGCATAAATGTACCAAGAAACTGAAAACTTTAAATGAGCGACATTCTATTACTTTACAAAAATTCTGCATCAAACTAGCAAATGTTGAAATCCTGAAATCTGAAATTATTAGATAATTGGTACATATTTCAAGCATGTACAAAAATGATTTTCTATTGAATAAAGGGATAGTGAGGTTTGTTTTGGTTTCTAGGAGGATAAGACATTCTTGTAATTTACTTTTCATATCTATTTCGATATATTTCGTAAATACTTTTAAGTAAGATATTTTACCTCCCTTTAGGATATACGACATTCAGAAAATTTAATGAATAAAGTTAACAAAATCATTCAAGTCAACAGGTGAAGTGAAAATGTAATATATTCAAGATAGGTAAACATGTATAGGCAGTAATACCTTTCCTGGTATGTTGATGTTGCTATTGATATGTAAATAGGTCAAGTTAATGACAACGAGAGGAAAGAATTGGAAATATCGTCATAACTATTTTCCCGTTTATAGCGATATAGTCACTATGTTCTAGGATTATATAACTTGATATTGATAATGGTCACGACATACACAATGATGAGTTTTAAAATTTCTGGTATTATGTTAACCTTGAATGATGATTTTTGGCAGTTAAATTCACATGTTTAGGCAGTGTTTACACCATTCTGAAATGATCACAATAGGTTCAAATTAAGTAAAAAAAAAACTTTCTGAACTGGCCAGATAACAGCAATGGTTAGACGGCACATTGTTGGTAGTGTGACTCTCCCTTCAGGAAGGCATTTATATGTTTAATGTTTGACAAAAAAGGTTGGCATCATTTGTTTCAATTTTCTGTAGAGAGCAACATTTTCTCTTTCAACTTTATATGTTAAAATCAACGATAGACACGGAGGCTAAACAAAACATATATGAAACAAATATTTCGTTATCATTCTGAAACAACATATGATGAAATTGTGGGAAAACAGGGATGAGTGACACCATCGATACATAACTGTTAATACTCAACACAAAAGCAACATATTGAAATAAGTTTTGACATTAAGATAAAATTGTATTTAGGAAAAATACATATCTGCCATCCCTGATAGTCCTCGTCAGAACAATAATAATAATTTCTTTTCAAAATTAATTTGACGAAAACTTGTTAAGACCGAACACTCCTTGGTAGATAATATGTTATGGCAATAGGTCATAGGGAGGACGCTTTGGAGAGGTCATCAAGAAACAGCAGAAAAAAATGTCTAAAATAATTATTTATCTAATAGAAAGATAATACGATTAACTGAACGGATTCAAAGACTACAATATATAATGTGGATTTCAAATTATGCTGTAGATCTGTCCCTTGTATGATATGAATTGTATGAATTTAGCTAAATGTTTCATAATGCAACTTATAACAATGGTCATTACATGGCTTTTCGTACCACTTATATGAGATTAATGAGCTAGAATACAGGATCGTGATACCTTTATGCACCGGAAATGATGCCAATTGGCAATATGAATCTATCACTGATCGGTGACCGTTTCTCGTTTGGTCAGGGTACGATTAGATAACCAGACTTCCTGACAGAATATTTAGCTTGCCACTGAAAGCCCTATTTACAAGGAATTACAAATTTTGATTATATATTTCCAATTCACATCTAAAATTACATTCTGATAGATGTAGGGAGCATTATGTTTCATTCGGGTTGCTCTTTCTCTGTATTGCCAAGAATTCATCCGAGCTGTTCAAACCAAATCTCACACTAACCTCATTAGTTCATTCACATCCTCATCATACTATGATATATGTCATGTCTTCGCTATTCTGTTCATGTAAATATACTCAACATCTCTTATCAAATAATTACTATGGTTTTCTCGTTATTGTTGAAAATTCTCGTTTTGAACAGGGCACTATTGAGTCAAATCCAACTCTGACCCCAATGGCAGTACAGCGCATGCGCTTTCTCCGAGTTGTTATTTTTCCCTCGAACCACTGGTTGGGCGGGATAACACTCATTTGTTTCTTGTCGGAGAAGCATATGGGGGAGCTATGCTCCGTACAATCGTTTTGCTTTGGAGGTAGGTTCCGTTTCACGAACTGACTTTCAGCTTGATGACTCAGTCGGGGAAGGGGGACTGGTCGTAACTGTTCTTGTTCCTTTGTCTGTTATTTTACCCTGTTCGTTAAGTTCCTTTATAGCTTGTAGTTCTTTCTTTTCTTTCATTCTCCTATTTTGAAACCATATTTTTATCTGTCGCTCAGTTAGACACAGCATATGGGAAAGCTCAATTCGTCTCCGACGAGTGAGGTAACGGTTGAATTTGAACTCTTTCTCCAATTCTAGAGTCTGAAATCGTGTATACGTCTGACGTCCTCTCCGTCGCTGATTTGAATTGGGCCCTGGAATACAGAAATGATTAAATAAAAACAGTGACTGCATATCTTTCATGATTATGGGATCGAAAGATTAGGAAAATTCAGTCTGTTATCTGAACACACGTAGCTTTGTTACAAATTTGTAAAATGACTAAACACATAGCAATGCTTGTAAGAATTACAGGTGACTACACTTAACACAGATCGTAACTACCCTCAAAGGAAATCCGTAAAATGACTCTGAAATCGATCCGTCCCCGTCTCACCAAAATATAAAAAATTCTTCAGACAGATTATAACAAAAAACCCCCAAAACCCCCAAAACAAATGACAAAATATAAAAAAAAAACAACGTGGGGGAGGGTCCGGAACCAGTCATTGAGAATTATTTCTCATTTTAAACACGACAAGTTTTCGTTCATTCGAATAAATACCAGAAAAGCATGGTCGTTTTGTTTTACATTTCTTAGCTTACGCATATCTCACTCAATAATAGTCACACTTGCCTTTATTGAGAATATAACAGTATGACCTTTTTGTCTAAGATCGGAGAACCATTACAACCACTCAATGCATACATTCTAAAGGATCCGGAGAGTATCACCTTACCTGCTCCTAACGATGAACAGAAACGTGAATTGTTTAAAAGTAGAAATGTTCAGTGATATACCCATGGTACTGAATAACCCAAATTTGTGGTTCTGATTACACTAACCGAATTCAAAGTCACGTTGTATTTTTTTCTGAAAATAAAGAAAAACTCATTTCTATAAACTGAAACTTGATATGGTTCGATCTGTGACGTAAGTATTCTGATATGGTGTTCCACAGTCTAAGTTCCATTTTGTGTTTGAGATCCTTTATTTACATGTTGGCAATCTACTAGTGGTCATCAGATATGTTTAAGTAGAAATGTACACGTATGTCACCCACGGTAGGTCATTTACATACAGGAAACCAGACTGTGTGCAATCACATTATGACAATGGAGGATAACACTACATTGCAAGATAATAACGTCATCAACACAAACATAAACACATTGACTAACAGATTTGGAATTATAATTTATCATATCATATAAATACTGAGCTTTTTAAAATTGAATTTTAAGGGATTTTAATATAGCAATATTGATATTATGTACGTGTCAAATTATACAGTAAAATATAACAGTTTTTTTTTTTTCAAAAAGTTTGCCAGTATAATTTGATAAAAAAAAAAAAAAAAAAAAAATTCAATATATTTGTCGCTGATCAATTAATTTTATTATATCTCAACATATTATCTGTTACTGGTAATTAATTATCCAAGTGTAATATATATCCATTTGAGCCATGTTTTTTAGATAAGTGAATTTCCTGGCAGAGTGAATTCTGCGATCGTCACTTGGTGCACAATTTATGACTTCGTTATGATAAATAATGTTCCAGTTTTGTTGTTACTGATAGAGGGCCTTCCATCAAACCGAATTTAATTTGAACACATCTCTGGCATGTCATTTCCAAGCATACCATGTTGCTATAGTATTCTGATATAGTAAACAGACAACCAAAGCTTGCTAGTTTTATTGACGAAGTTTCTAAAATTTACGGTAGATAAGATGCTATCTAGCAATAAAATAATGCAATATCTTTGCTATAACATCGAATAAAAAGCGAGCTCTCTTAACAAGACTGACGGCTGGTAACACACCTTGAAACTGATAGGTAATAAAACTTTGATTCGTTGTTAGATACGGTAGGGTCTGGATCCCAGGTGTGGAGGCGATGTGATATGAACGTATACGATACTGTACGGAACAATACACTCTCTCAATATGATAGTTTATCATGCATACTGTTCTTCCCAGAAAAAACATATACAATGTACTCTCATAACATTAGTTGGAAGTTATGTATGTCAGAAGAGGGTTCTTCTAACAGATTTCCGTGTAACTTTATATATCTACAAGTGGTGTGGGTTAGCAAGAATAACACAGACACCTGAACACAGATGTATTGATACCTTTGATATAAAGACAGTGTTTTATTTCCCTTTTTACACGATTTTCAGCTTTAGTTTTTATTTTATACCCCTCCCCCGTCTCTCTCTCTCTCTCTCAACCATTTCCTTTGTTCGATTTGAACTGTTAGTTTATTCTTGTTTATTAAAACATAATTCAACAGCCTAACTGATCAGACCTCAGCGTAACAACATATCCAGTATGTCTGAATAGTTAAAATGGCATAAAGTATATATATATATATTTCCGTTATATTTAAATTTACTTTACTGCCATTAAATGAACCGGACGTAGACTTTCTCTTTTCACGTTTCATAAAATGGTATTGTATCATCTGCTGGCACAAAGGTATGTTGTGTTGATTTCTTTTTTAGTTCGTTTTTATTAATATTAAAAATATTATAGGTTTCTTTTTTCTTTTTTTCTTTTTTTTTTTGGGGGGGGGTTGTTGTTGTTATATATATTTTATATAGTTTGATTGTTTACATATAAATTCTAAATATATGATATGTAATGAGCCATCCATGATGAATTCATATATTAAACATCATTCACATGATCAAAGTTACGTATCACTAAATAAGGATCGATACACTGGATTTTTGGAAGATCTATTCTGTATGTAATTGGGCGGTGAGACGGTGTGAGGGACGGATCAGCAGGTCGTCCGGCGAGGTTCATTGGCACAGGGGAGGTCCTACGGTTACCGGCACGGTTAACAAACAAACCAGAAAACACGTGGTAAGTAACTCCATAACAATATCGCTTACCAACCCATATTTCATTTCAATTGTTAATTTCACTGGGTGATATACACTAGAACAGCATCATACGCTTGCGGGCCCAATTCATTCAAATAAATCAACAGCGACTTTGTCATATACAATGGGCTCTATCTCTCTGAAACCCCCTTCAGAAAAAAACAACCAATATCTGGCCGTGAATTTTTTTTTGCGTGAGGTAAATGGCTTTTTATGTACGATAAATAATCCCAACCCACACCACTATAGCTATTTCACCATTTAGATAATGTTTCTTTTAATGTTAAAAATTTGCTCCGGCTCTTCTAAGTTTTCAATAAATCATAATTTACCGCGTTTACTAGCCTTCCCTTCTAGTCATTTTAAAATGCGGTCATACCACCTTCAAATCTAACATTTTAGCACTTTGAGAAATTGGAAGACATTATTCATTTCATGAGACCAGTAGAAAATACGGTTTGCATTACTGTCCCAGTTCGACATGATTTGTAAAAGAGAGCCCATTCAGACCGAGAGATACAGCAGTAGATAATACGAGAAGATAGGAAACATCAGCACCATGAACCAAAATTAAGCTAAAGTTGAAAGAGAAATTCCTTCAAGATGACTTTACACATTTAACTCCGGCAATGATTTGTTTATATCATACACATGTCAAATGCCAATCAGAGTATGCGAGGAACGATTATTGATAAATATTTTCCTTCGAAGTTTAAGCATACTGCAGATTTAAATATTTTGCTTTTAAGAGTCTAGATATGTATTAATGTATATTTGATTATGTATAGATTCAAACGACATTAACTATTATGAATATATTGAACAGTAAAACATACACATGCTAATATTGCAATATATAAGAGATATGAATGATGCTAGGCCGAAGTGTCTGGATTGTAAAATAGGTGGAATGCATGTATGCAAAGGTGAGTGCATGAGAACGGAATAGTTGTTTGTTACGTGTACACGTATAAGCTTCTACCTAGCATATGGCAAGTCAAGTTATTCTTGTTATCAACAATGTACACGTATCTTTCATTTAGAAATGCATGTGTATGATATGCATAGAGCTGAACATGTATATTTCATCAATGGATATGCGTCAGTTTTTTGCTGTTGAAGTAAAGTTTTTTTCTTGGCCTTTGATTGATTATAATTTCTTTCACAAGTATGCTACTTGAGATAATGATAATTGTAATCAGTGCTAACATGTATATCTATAGGATACATACTATCAGCCAACTGTACGTCATATTATTGTTTTAAACTAGAGGAACTGGTTATACATTTGTAAACGTGTTCAGTAAACCTATTACATACATTTATCTAATACATAATTGGGGAAACAGTGTTCTCTTTGAAGGTGTTCCTTTCTAACAACTTACCTTAGTTGGTTTTGCTGTTGCCTTCTATCATGTTGTGTTATGATACTTATTTCACGTACACGTATTTACGCTGTAACAGGACTTTTTCTTTTGTTTTTTTGTTTTCTTTTCATTTTATCATATTTTTGTTCAATTAGTAATAATTTGTTTTGATACCAAAATTCAATTCTAAATATGAAAGAAATAATCTTGAAGACCTCACTATGTCTACATATTTTAAACTTGATTTCTGTAATAATTGTCTAACGCTTCTAATGTGATTAAATATAACCAATCAGTTTTTTTTAAATTATAGGTTTGTCTGAATTTAATCATTACTTTGATTGCTTCTGTTTAGCGAGGACCAGACAAGTCATTTAAAAGGAGATATTGGACGTTCTAGTTTACAGATTGACGTTACTCGACTTTGTGAACTTCCGTTACGAATGTAATGCGATCAATGATGCTTAGAGTTTACATGCGCTTCACTTTACACTCATTAAACACCGCGATATGTCTACAAGTATCGAAATATATTTTAGAGGTATTTTCCTTGAAATAAAAAAGCTAACCGCCTCAATCATATGTCAACGCTGAAATAAACATTTCTTGAAAACCAAAGAGTCGTCATTCGAAAATGTGAAAAAATACAATAAGTCGAATAAATGGTTGCTGTTTAAGATTGTTATTGCAAATCTGCTTGGTTACCGATGGTGAAATTCGTGTGCACCTGATGGAAGGTCACGATATGTATAACATTCTACATGAAAAACTGGTGAGAATGAATTGACGTATGGCCTATGTACGAGGGCTACTTTACCTCCCCTATTTCCATTTAAGAAATTAACGTTTTGAGGTACGTTGTAGGAGTTTAATGAAACAAGTTATATGATT